CAGAGAGGGGCCAGGAAGCCTGCACGTGAGTGCCACCTCTGCCACGCACAAGGTGAGCTTGGCAGGATTCCATCTGTCTGGCCTTGGTTTTATCATCTCTCAGATAAGGGTCATAAAATACTCAAATACACAGATAACTCTTACAACGCAACAATAAAAAGGCAACCTGATTTTTTTTTTTTTTTCAGAAAAAAATGTTGCTTTATTATGACAGGAAAAACTATAATTCATGAAGGAAGGGGAGAATCAAACAGTTCCTCAAATAACAAGGTACAATCATTGGAATATTTTCCCTATAATTTTAGTTTTTGGTTATCACAATTACTTCAATTATTAAAACGCACACACATAGCCCCACTCTGGCAATTTTACAGTCAAAGCATACACACCACGCCTCACCCCAAAAGCCCCCGTATGGAGGCCTGCGACATCCTCGCACCTGCCGGGGGAGGGGCTGCGTGGGCCAGAGGGAGGCCTGGCCACTCGGTCCTCAGGCTGCCTCCGGGCCAGGCCTGACCCCGTTATCCCAGCATCTACACCGCTCGGAACTCCGCACGTCTGAAGGGGGAAAGTCCACCGCTTCACTGAGAAGCGCGGAGTGGCAGCCAACATTTCAGAAATTCCGGTTATTTTAAATGTACCGATGGGAGTACAGGGGTCAGACCCATTGGGTAAGGATAGGAACACCTACATAGAAGTGGTTGTTAGGAAACAACCATTTTCCTGAATTTGATAGCTGGAACGGGAACTTTAAGAAAAGGAAATTTTGCCCTAGCCAGTTTGGCTCAGTGGAGTGTTGGCCTTCAGACTCAAAGGTCCCAAGGGCATGTACCCTGGTTGTGAGCACATGCCCAGTAGGGAGTGTGCAGGAGGCAGCTGATCGATGCTTCTATCTCATCGATGTTTCTAACTCTCTATCCCTCTCTCTTCCTCTTTGTAAAAAATCTATTTTATATATATATATATGAAATTTCGTGTAATATTTTGTTTGTAACAAGATCAATTCAAATAAGCACATCTATCACGGACCTCCTGCGGGGCGTCACCTATGAGCCAGGAGGTCATGGTTCAATGGTCAGGGCACAGGCAGGAAGAGGGCAGACCCGGGCAGCACCCCCCCCCCAGGAGCCCTCCCAGGGGCAGGGACGAGGTACGTGCCAAAGGGAAGAAAGAGAACTGATTTGGAGACACAAGTTTCAAATGATGTCCACAAAAGATCACCTGGCCCCGCTGTCCCTCCCTGTCCTGTGTCCTCGGCAGCTGAGCCTCTGAGCCCCAGCGCAGGCAGGGAGGGTGGAGGGAACACTGGCTGGGAAGGAGGCTGGCCAGATCTCAGATAATCTTCCAGAAACCCCAAGGCCAACATGTCCCCTTTGTCCCCGCTCTGCATTGATAACCTCCAGTCAAGCGAGGAGGACACGGCAGCAGATGCAGGAAGACTTCCTGGCTCAGAACTCCACACGCCAATGTCAGTCAGTTTGCTGTGTTTGTTATTAAAAGACAGCACCTCTCCCCAAAGCAGTCTTCACAGCCGTCTCTCTCTCTCTCTCTCTCTCTCTCTCTCTCTCTCTCTCTCTCACACACACACACACACACACACACACACACACACACCTCGAACACATGTCACCATTTCTAAAAATCTGCACCCATCCATACTTCCCTGAAAACACTTGCTATTTTAAAGTATGCTTTAACTGAGAAGGGCAACCCAATATAAAATGGACAAGCCCTGGCCGGTTTGACTAAAGATTAGAGCATCAGCCCATGGACTAAAGGACATGGGTTCAATTCCTGACCTGGGCACGTACCTCAGTTGCAAGTTCCATCCCCAGCCCCAGTTGGAGCATATGTGGGAGGCAACCAATCAATGTGTGTCTCTCTCTCCCTCCCCTCTCCCTTTCATTCTCTAAAAATAAATGGGAAAGTCGAAACCGGTTTAGCTCAATGGATAGAGCGTCAGCTTGGGGACTGAAAGGTCCCGGGTTCGATTCCGGTCAAGGGCATGTACCTTGGTTGCGGGCATATCCCCAGTAGGAGGTGTGCAAGAGGCAGCTGATCGATGACTCTCTCTCATCGATGTTTCTAACTCTCTATCTCTCTCCCTTCCTCTCTGTACAGAAATCAATAAAATATATTTAAATAAATAAATAAATAAATAAATAAATAAATAAATAAATAAATAAAAATGGGAAAAATACCCTTGGGTGAGGATTCAAACATAATAATAAAATAAAATAAAATAAAATAAAATAAAATAAAATAAAATAGGCAAAGGATGTGAATAGACATTTCTCCAAAGAAGAAACAAATGACCATCAAGTACATGAAAAGATTCTCCGGCCTGCCCAGTGTGGCTCAGTGGCTGAGGGTCAGCCCATGAGATCACAGTTCAATTCTGGGTTTTGGGTTTGATCCCCAGTTTGGGGCATGCAGGAGGCAGGCAATCAATGATTCTCTCCCATCATTGATATTTCTTTCTCTCTCTCTCCCTCTCTTTTCCTCTCTCTGAAATCAATAATAACATAGTATTAAAAAAAAAGATGCAAAAGATAAATAAAATAAAGTAAAACAAAGATGCTCCATATCATAAGTCATTAGAGAACTGCAAACCCAAACCACATGAGGTGCCACTTCCCACCCACTAGGATGGCTATAAAAACAAAGACAGGCAATAACAGATGTTGAGGAGAAACAGAGAAACAGAAACTGCAACCCTCCCACATCACTGGACCAATGTGAAATGGTGCGGCTGCTTTGAATGACAGTTGGGTGGTTCCTCAAAAAGATAAACATGGCCTTGCTCTATGATAGAACAATCCCACTCCTAGGGACCTGCCCAAGAGAACTGAAAACATGTCTCCAGGAAAACTGGTACACAGCTGTTTACAGCATGATCATTCACAGTAGCCAAAAAGGGGAAACAACAAAATGTCCAACTGATGAACAGAGCAACAAAATGTGGTCTGTCCAGACAATGGACTGTGATTCAGCCATAAAGCAGAATGAAGCACTGGCATGCTAGAGCATGGATGAATCTTGCACAGGCGATAATAACTAAAAGAATTGTGACACAAAGGCCACATGTTATGTGGTTTTATTTACATGAAATGTCTAGAGTGAGCAAATCTATAAGGACAGAGATGGGTTAGTGTTGCCAGGAGTGGAGGGAGGTGGGGAGCAGGGAGTGACTGTTAATAGCTAAGAGGTTTCTCTTTTGAAGTAATGAAAATGTTCTGGATTAGATAATGGTGATGGTTGTACAACTTTGTGAATATTCTAAAAGTCACTGGGTTGTGCAATGTAAAAGGGTGAGTTTTAATGGGATATGAATTATCTATACTAATAATCTATACTCATAAAAGGGTAATATGCTAATTAGACCAGATACCATGGACGTCTTCCAGACATCCTTCTGGACAAAGCCACAATGGTGGGGGCCGAGGCAGAGGCAGTTAGGGGCGATCCAGCAGGGGAGAGCAGTTAGGGGCGATCAGGCAGGGGAGAGCAGTTAGGGGCAATCAGGCAGGCAGCCAGAGGGGTTAGGGGCCAGCAGGCAGGCAGGCAGAGAGATTAGGGGCAATCAGGCAGGGCAGGCAAGGCAGAGGTGGTTAGGGGCGATCAGGCAGGCAGATAGAGGGGTTAGGGGCGATCAGACAAGCAGGTGAGCAGTTAGGAACCAGTGATCCCAGATTGCGAGAGGGTACAGGCTGGGCTGAGGGACCCCCGTCCCTCCGTGCATGCTCTAGTATCTTATAAAGAAGAGTTCTCAAAAGATGGTCTCCAGGTCAACGGCATCAACATCATTAGAACTTGTTAGAAACACAAATACTTACTCCAGGTGGGGCCCAGCAATCGTGTTTTAACAAGAACTGCAGCTGATTCTCATGCAGCCCAAGTTTGAGACCCTCTGGAGTGAAGAAACCAAATAATCCTCACCTCCTCTCCTGATTTTAGCAAGAACCTCCAAATTCTTGAGATCACAAGGATGCCTTATCAGATTAAGCTTCCAAAGTTTAAAGAAATCCAGCCTCTACATCTTGAATGTAGATTCAGAGTCAGGCAGCATTTCAGAAGACTTGATCGCTCTGGCTGTTAACCATGAAACCACCTGTTTATATCGACATCTACCATATTATTGAATGCCAGGGACAGAACCCCAATTCGAAAGTAAATGAAGCTTCCCAGGGTGATTCTGCCCTCCTCCCGGACCCTGGCAGACCAGGCCAGCAGGGTGATCCTGCATCCCAGTTGGCCCAGGGTGTTCTGCATACTCGCCTAGTGTCCCAGAAGGAGTTACCAGCTTCACTCCAGAGTCAGTGTTGGGACTGTGAGGGATGGACTCCTACAGGCCAGCACTGCAGACCCGCATCCCAGCGCAGCCGGTGCTCCCGCCCGAGCCGTGCGAAACCTCCGCTGGCCCAGGGCCACCAGCCTTAGGGCCCTGCCAGCCTCGGGGCTTCCTGAAACCCTGTCCTCGGCTCCTAGAGGTCCTCTGTCTCAGGCTGTGTCCAAATTGAGAGAATTATTACAATGGCCTAACGCGCACTGGCCGCACTGCCCAGTTAGCCAAAGCTCTTTCTTCACATTTCCCCCCCGAAACCCTGGACAGGTTTCCTGCCCTCTGCACAACCAGCTCCTCTCTGCACAACCAGCTCCTCTAGGTCTGTGTGCTCGGCCACCCCAGGCAGACCGCGTGACCGCGGAGCCGGACCGTTCCTCCCAATGATGCTACAGCGCTGGGGCCGCAGGGGGAGGCGTGCACCGCGGGGCGGGCAGGCAAGGAGGCGGGGCCTTTGGGAGGGGAGGGGCTTTGGTGGGCGGGGCCTTGGAGGGGCGGGGCCTGCGTGGACCGGGCAGCCTGGGAGAGCCGGCGCCGGCGTCCTGCGGTCAGGCCGCCCGCCAGGGGGCGCCGCTCGCCCCGCCCTCTCGCTCGGCCCCGGAGCGGCGACGCGGCGGCGCTTCCGCCTGCGGGCCGGGCCGGTGCGAGTGGCCCCAAGATGTGGCTGGGCCCCGAGGAAGTGCTGGTGGCCAACGCGCTGTGGGTGACAGAACGGGCCAACCCCTTCTTCGTGCTGCAGCGGCGCCGGGGCCACGGCCGGGGCGGCGGCCTCACGGGTGAGAGGCGGGCGGCAGCTGGCGGCGGGCGCGCGGCCGGCGGGGCGAGCGACCTGCCGGACAGGCCCGGCCGCGGCGCGGCGTCGCGGACGCGCACGTCAGCGCGCGCGGCGGGTCCGGGCGCGAGGCCGGCCTGGCGGACGGGAGGGGCCGGGTGCGGGGTGCGGCTGCCGCCGTGCGGAGCCGGCGGCGGGGCGGAGGGGCAGACGCGCTGCGGTGGGAGGCCGGTGGGGAGACGGGTCCCGGGGAGGCCTCTGCCCGCACTCCTGCCGGTTGCTCCCGGTGCTCAGCCGAAGTGGGCGCAGCAAGATCTCCCCGCCGCCTCCGCCTCAGTTTCCCCAAGGGCCTCTGCGGGGCCCAGAGACACAGCACCCCTTTCCTTCTGCCTCCTCCATGCCCGGCTCGCCAGAGAATTGCCCTGGTGGCGAGACCAGAGGGTCCGCGAGCTGCGGGCTGGCCTCCACCCTCATCCCTCCAGCTTCCCCTGCCCACCTTTCCTGATTTCTTGGCGCCATCCGAGCTGCAGACCAAGCCTTTGCCAGATGACCAGTATACCGTGTTGTGGTGGCTACCAGAGGGCGTCATCTGCACGCACCGGGATGAGCTGGACCGGCAGGCCCTCCTGGAGGACGGCCTGTAAGGGCCACCTCTGCGGGTGTCCAGCCCCTGTGCCCGGGGCCTGTGCGCAGGTGCCCTGCTGTTGCCATGCGGGGCTGTGGGCCACAGTTGCCAGATCTTCCTATTGATCATGAGCACCTTCTCTAACATCTGGGAGTCCTCTGCTGCCAGCCTCACCCGGGCGCACCGCCTCATGTGGAAGAGGCTGTACCATTCCCAGAAATCTGTGTTCCCTTGGTGGCCTGGGCTCTCGGAAGCATGGAGCAGTGCTGGGCCTTGACAGCGGCCCTTCTGGAGAGGCTGACAGTGGTCACCCTTGGGAGCTCCTGCAAGCCCGTGCTGGAAATCGGTGTGCCGATGCCAGACCTTTCGTTGCAGTGAACAGTGTGTCAGATCACCAGTGCGCTTCGGACCTTGTTCTGTGCTGTATGTATCGTATCGGTAGGTGATCTCAGCAAGTGGCTGGGTGCCTCTGGGCACCCTGGCTAGCTCACCAGAACAACATGTACTGGTCACTTGGCAAAGGCTTGGTCTGCAGCTCTAGGGGCACCTTCCTGCCCAGAGAAAGCCCTTTCTACCTCGTTTACCCCTTTGTGTCCCCCAAGACAGAGCTTCCCAGGTCCCCCCAGGATTTTGAAATTTTTTATTGATTTCAGAGAAGAAGGAAGAGAGGGAAACATGTATGATGAAAGAGAATCAAGAATCATCTGCCTCCTGAATGCCCCCTACTGGAGGGGATTGAGCCTGTAACCTGGGCATGTGCCCCAACCGGAAATCGAACCCGGGACCCTTTAGTTCACAGGCCGGTGCTCTATCCAATGAGCAAAACTGGCTAGGGCAGGAAACCTGCTTCTTGAACTCCACACTCTAGCTAGATTTTGTGAGTCCTGCCATGGTCTTCCCTGAGCCATCACAGACATGTGGCCTCCTGATCGCATCTTGGCAGGAAAGGAGCAATTAGTGATGTGGTTTTAGTCCAGCTGTCTTATAAACAGCTGCCAACCTGTATTCCTCAGCGAAGAGTCGATGGTCCATCCATTATAAAGCTTTCAGGTCTTGCCTACACTATAAGGACAAAAGTAACATTTCTAAGACCGGAAGAGAAATCCCAACAGAAATCATGAAAAAAAGTTTATAGCTTGAATATGCTGTTTTCACTGCAATTTAGAAAAGCATCTTAGGACATATCAATAAAACAAGTGAGAAATTATAGATTCCTGACTTGGATGTCTGTGAAGAATACCTTCTTTTGTAATTGGTAATTTTATTTATTAAAGATTGGAAGGGAAATGTGGTTAAAATGGAAAATGAAGTGAAAGTGTTAAATTTGAGCCGGGACCGGTTTGGCTCGGAGGATAGAGCTTCGGCCTGCGGACTGAAGAGTCCCGGGTTCGATTCTGGTCAAGGGCATGTACCTTGGTTGTGGGCACATCCCCAGTGGGGGGTGTGCAAGAGGCAGCTCGGTGTTTCTCTCTCATCGACGTTTCTAACTCTCTGTCCCTCTCAATTCCTCTCTGTGTAAAATCAATAAAAATATATTTTTAAAAAAGTGTTAAATTTGAATAATAAAATTAATAGGAATTATTCTGACATCAACAGGGAAATGGTAACAAAATACTTAGAGATCATATCAAAAGCAGGACTTCATTCAAAGGGAAAAATAAATTTTAGCTAGGAACAATGAACAGATTTTTAGATAGAATGATAATACAGCTAATGAAGAAGACTGAATCAAGTTAGACCTTTCCTCTGGCTTGTTAGGAAAATAGTGACATTAACAAAGGGTCTATGTGATGAGAAGGAAAACTTGAAATGCCCTAAAATGCTTCGTGGGTGAGAAGAAAAAAATCCAGACCCTGTTTTCCCAAATTGGATACTTCCAAAAATTTGCATGTTCTTTTCAGTCATGACTTTCAAGACTGGAAAGAACTTCCTTAAACTTTCCACAGTAACCATGCTCCTGTGGCAGAGGAGTCTGTTATCCTCCTGTTGTAGATATGGGGAATGACGTTACAAAGTGATTGCCTTATGAAAAACGTCATCAGAGTACACCAAAAATGCCAGGGGTGGGCGGGAGTGCATCTCAGGTGATGTCCGGCAGGGAATAAAACACATTACATAATTTTTCTAGATTTTGGGGTATTATTTTTGTTTTTCATTTGTAACTGTTGTACTTTGTCATTCTAAAGAAATATTTGTTTACAGCTGAGACCGGTTTAGCTCAGTGGAATAGAGCATCGGCCTGCGGACTGAAAGGTCCCGGGTTCGATTCCGGTCAAGGGCATGTACCTGGGTTGTGGGCACATCCCCAGTAGGGGGTATGCAAGAGGCAGCTGATCGATGATCCTCTCTCATCGATGTTTCTAACGCTCTATCCCTCTCTCTTTCTCTCTGTAAAAAATCAATAAAATATATTTTTTAAAATATATATATTTGTTTACAAACCTGGCTGTGTGGTTTTCTTGAAGGGGGCATTCCAGATTGATTAAGCTTAGGACTTCATGAAACCTGCATGTGGCTGCTCCTGACCTGAGCCTCAGCCCGGGGCTCAAAGCTGTGTGGTTTGTCTGACAGGGCATCATGAGTCTGTATAAAATAAATAACATGAATATGGGGGAGAGGCTGATGGTGCCCGTGCCTGCAGGGGCGTCTGCATCAGAGGATAAGCAGCAGCTTCCAGAAAGAAGTGGGAGGGGTTTTTTGTAGGAGTCAGACCTGAGGAAAAGGGAGTCAGTTGATGGAAGAGGCCAGGTGCTTAGGGTGCTTCTTCCTCAGAGCCCAGTCCGGGCCTGGCTCGGCTCTCAGCGCCACCCTCCCTCACCTTCCACTTCTCTCCCTGCTCCCAGGTCTTCTTGTGGGCACCCTGGACGTGGTATTGGACTCCAGCGCCCGCGTGGCCCCCTATCGAATCCTGCACCAGACCCAGGACTCACAGGTCTACTGGACAGTGGCGTGCGGTAGGAGAGCTGGAACGGGGGTGCTGGGCAGGGCCTGCCCTAGAGGGCCAGATGGGAGGGGACACAGCCGGGTTCCTGGGCTGGGAGTTGGTCCTGGGACCCAGCACTGCCCCTCACTCAGACGGCACAGCCGAGGCCAGTGTCCTGCTTAGGAAGGTAGCTTCGCTGGTCACAGGCCTGGCACAGTGCTGAGTCACCTGTGGCCCTGTTGGGAATTCGCACATGCAGAGCAGCGAAAAATGTGAGTCACCAACACAGATTCCCAGCTGAGGTGGAACAAGGGGTGCTTCTGCATTCTTGTGTCAGCTCTCACACCGCAAGCAAGTGTCCTTCTCATGATTTAAATACCTTGTTTTTCCCTTTTTTTTTTTTTTTTTTTTTTCTTGGCGATTTGCTGTTGACAATGGCCCCAAGCGTAGTGATGAAGTGCTGTGTGCTGTTCCCCAGGCTGAGACGCTGTAGGGCGCCCTGCACAGCCGGTGTGCATGTTAGACAGGCTGAGTCGCAGTGTGCTGGCTGGAGTGCAATGTTAGGGAACTAACGTGCAAATTTTTGAACAACAAAAAAAAAAAACACATAAAACCAAGTTATGTATTGATCAGTTGATGAAAATGTGACCAGAGGCTCCAAAGAACCTCACTCTGTAGCTCCCTGGGAGCAGCTGGTGAGTTCCGTTCCCTAGGGGTCTGTGTGGGGCAGGACTGCTGTGAGGAACAGAACTGGCTGCACTTGTCCCTTCGACACGCTGATTTTCAACCAGCGTGTCGAAAGGACTTTCAAAACGTGAAATACCTGCTATTTAGTCACGGGCACTGGCCTCTTTTTCCTTAAATTGTCAAATAACGTAAAATAACCACAGCCAACACAATAGCCATCCGGTGTGAATGAATCTCAAAATTATATCTATTTTTTTGTCAGATCAGCAAAAACCATAACACTTTTTGGAGTGTCACAGAAGATTTATGTGTACCATGAGATGAAAAAGGTTGAAAATCACTGTCCTGTAAAGACACACGCACTTCCTAAGAGTCCGGGGAAACCCCCTTCCAATAGGGCCTGGCTGGCGTCGCTCGGACAAAAGGCAGTGATAGCCAGCGCTCAGAGGTCTGCCTGCAGCCAGGCACTTCGGAGAACCTCCCAAAACTCAGAAGGCGGAACTTGGGTCTTCCCTATTTTGAAGATGAGGAAACTGGCCAGGGGGGTTGAGTAACTTGCCCAAGGTCACACAGACTGCAATTCAAACCAAGAGTATCTGCTCATGTCCCTGTGCTGAAAACCTCTGTGCTAGCAGCCAGTGTCACTGTCCCCCAGGATAAAGGGTTTCCTTGGAGGCCTGAGAAAAGATAACCCCAGCTCAGGAGAGGGGGGCGGTCAGGGCTGAAGGCACAGGGTGGACAGCAGCCAGCACACCCCTCTTACCAGGTGGGCCCCAGCCTGGGTGCCAGGCAGCTGGTGTCTTCTTCCTCCCGGGTACCTGAACAGAGTGTCCTCACCCTTAGTGTGAAGGACTAAAGGAAGGCTTAAAAGGCTGCTTGCCCTGAGCCACCCTGGACAGCCCGTAGGAGCCCTGCTCTCCTGGTTACAGAGCCTGAGTGGTGCCCTGGCGGCTGGCTCCCCGCCGGAGAGAGGGGCCTCCTGCGGGTGGGATTCCCTGAGCAGGGCGAGGAGATTAGTATGTGCCTGGGTTCTGAGGAGAGACTCACTCTCAATGGCCCTTAAGATTTTCATCTGTCTCAGTGGTGTCCCTCCAGGAGCGAGAGGGGAGGGGGCAGCTTCTCTGCGGGGAGAGAGGAGTGTGGCCAGGCTGTGTGGGAACCCTTTTGGCAGTGGGGCTGGTAAAAAGTGGGAACGCAGGCCACACAGGCTGACCTGTTCCCACTTTTACCAGCCCCCTGGCTCTGCCTGAGCCTCTTTCCTACGCCATGCCCCACCCCAGCCCCTGCCCTTCAGCGCTCCCAAACCAGACCCAGTTGTGCTGATACTTGTGGTGAGTCCCGGCTGCTCAGCTGGCCCTGGAGGAATTCCAGGGCCGTCTCCTGCCTTTCTGCCCTCCTCCTTCAGCTCACACCTGGCTGTCAGCCAGACCGGACACGGGCAGAACTTGTCCTGAATGGTGTGGGTACAGCATCACCTTGTGTCCACTTCCTTTCCTCCCACTCTGATGTCACCCCCTGTGGAAAACCTTCCCAGAATCCCAAGGCCCATGTACCCACGCTTCCTTCTTGCTCCTTGGGACCTGCCATGTTTCTGTGTGCACTTTCACACTGCATGTTTGCTGGCTCTCTTGCTAGGTCAGCAGCTCCCTGAGGACAGGGGGAGCTCTGCAGCTGGGCAGCCTGGGTTAGAATTATGGTCTGGCCATTTCCCAGCTGTGCGACATTGGGCAACTTAACCGCTCTGCACCTCAGCTTCATCCTATAAAATGAAAATAACATCTATCTCCAAGGTGTTCTAAGAATTAACTGAGATAATCCACAAAAAGTTCTGAAAACAGAAGTAGCACTGATTAATTTAATTAGCTTTTACTAGTATATTCCTTTTACCGCGCATAGAGGTGGCATAGTTTGTGTTTACTTACACTAAATGAAGATTGTGTTACTTTTAACTAATAATCCTTTTAAGTGCACATATGTAAATGTTTATTATTGAAGTGGAGACAAATCCACACAGACAGTATAGACATGTTTTATTTGGTTTTAGATTTTCGGGAACAATAGAGTTGCATCATGTGCAGATTTAACTTCCAAATTCAAATGTGGGTCTTGGCAAAAAAAACAGAGGGAGAAATCCCTTCCCCTACCAACTAGTCCTTGCCTCCAAGCAACAGGGAAAGGAGGCCATAGTAAAAAATTCAAAGAAAATGTAAAAGGAATGGTAATTTATGGATGCTCCAGTGTAATTTTGCTCGCCTGTTGTGACTCACTGTGAGTGATCTAACCAGGTTTGTTTTCACCCTGGCATCCTCATACAGGACAATGGAGAGGGTCCTTCCTTTGAATTATTTGTTAGGGGCTTAATTGCTGGGGTACATGTAAAGAAACAAACAGATCAACCCCAGCCAAGTCAGCTGGCTGTGACTTGTGACAGAGCATTGAGCAGGTTCCTGAGGGTTGGGGGAACCAACTTGGGCGGGCAGGGTATAGGCTGAGTTTTCAGCTGGTGGAGAAAGAGAGTTTCCAGGTGGGGAAGGATGGTGTGCCTTGGCTCAGGCACCCAGCAACATGTCTGTGGTCCACAGCAATGCTAGACTTGTAGCTCAGCCAAGGCTCCTCCATGCCATGAGATCAACTGAGCCATCTCATTGGAGGCACTCGTGATCCGTACACTGTCTGACCTCAGAAAAGCTGAGAGGATGGAGGGCCTTCACTCTTCTTCTTGTATTCATTCACTCAGAAAACCGTTCTTAAGTGCAAGCTCCATGACTGGCATGTGCCGGGGGCAGGAGAAGCTAGCCATGTTGGCACTTCCCTCATCCTTTTGCTTCTCCGGGGGCCCCTTTTCCCAGTTCCCTGGTGGGAACAGAGAGCAACTGCCCCACCCTGTGGGAAGGGCACTAATCTGCCTTTCTCAGTGTGTCCATTTGGGCTCGGCTGCAGTGCCTCCAGGGCCCCTCCCTGAAGAGGACAAGCAGCACCTCCTAGGCCAGGCGGGCCAACTGGAAGCTGAAGGGCTCAGATGGGCACTTGGAGGAGGCAAGAGCAGGGTTGGGGGGTTAGCTGGAAAGGGAAGGATGAGCATTGCAGGCAAAGGACTGGGTGGGTGCATCTGACCTCGGAGAGACATGGGAACTACAGGCCTGGCTCGCCCTGCCCAGAAGGAAACTGGCCAGCTGGGACGAGAGCCCTGCAGGGTGTTCTGGCTGCTCTCTGTGAACTCCTGAATCATCAGGGGGCGCTGCAGTCATTTATACCAAGACTGACTATGTCTGCATAGTCACCTATGTATCAAAGGCCACAGTATGTTCTTTTACCTCAAACAACAAACTTCAGAATTGAGCAAATTTGTAGATGTATAGACAATTTCTGGGAGAACACACAGGAAACTAGTGGTCATTCTTGTTCAGCTTTAGGGGAAATGAAGGCTTTATTTTCCATATGATTGCAATTTTATTTATTTATTTATTTATTTATTTATTTATTTATTTTTAGTTTTCATTTTCACCAGAACTACTTATGACTTTTGTTATCCTATCTAATGAAAGAGTAATATGCAAATTTATCATGCCTCTGCTATACCCATAATCCATGCCCACCAGCCATTCAGGAGTGAGTATGCAAATTAACCCAACCAAGATGACTGTGACCACAGAGAGAGCAGGAGGCTTCAAGGCTACAAAGTTTCAATTATAGAAGATGAATAAATCCTAACAAAAATGGCATCAGCCACAGAGCTGGAGAGAGCAGGAGGCTTGAGTTTTCCCCGGCGGCGATGGAGGAAGCCAAGTTTCTGCAGTCCTGGCTTGCCTTGGCCTCCATTTAAGGCTACAAAGTTTCAATTATAGAAGATAAATAAATCCCAGATCCCAGGGCCTCTGCGTGGGCCGCCAGGGGGCGTGGCTGGCCTGAAAACCACCACAAGCCCCTCACCCAGGTCACTTGGTTTGCCGCAAGGGAACCCCCACCCTAATGAGGACTCCCGTAGGGCAAACCAGCCAGCCCCACCTGTGCACCAGGCCTCTATCCTATCTAATCCTATCTAATAAAAGACTAGTATGCAAATTGACCATCACTCCAGCACACAAGATGGCTGCCCCCATGTGGACACAAGATGACCTGCAGGGGAAGGCAGTTGGGAGGGACCAGGTCTGCAAGGGAGGGCAGTTGTAGGTGATCAGGCAAACAGGGGAGGGCAGTTAGGGGCAAACAGGCAGGCAGGGGAGCAGTTAGGCATCAATCAGGCTGGCAGGGGAATGATTAGGGGTGATCAGGTTGACAGGCAGAAGCAGTTAGGGGCAATCAGGAAGGCAGGCAGGTGAGCAGTTGGGATCCAGCAGTCCTAGATTGTGAGAGGAATGTCTGATCAGGCTTAAATGGGCAGTCAGACATCCCTCAAGGGGTCCCAGATTGGAGAGAGTGCAGGCTGGGCTGAGAGACACCCCCCATGCACAAATTTTGTGCACTAGGCCTCTAGTATATAATAATATATCTGAAGCTTACGGAGGAAAAGTGTAAGCAGCTTGAAGATTGTAGTCACTTGAATATAGCACTTCGGGTCATCTCTTTTCTCTGAGTTTCCCTTTAAGGCCTGGTGATTATGTGATTTCCCTCTTCTTTACTCACCAAACCCCTAGGTTCTTCGCGCAAAGAGATAACAAAACACTGGGAATGGCTGGAAAACAACTTACTCCAGACGCTGTCCATCTTCGACAATGAGGAAGATATCACCACTTTCGTCAAGGGCAAGATACACGTAAGGCTCACAATCTCTTCTCTGTGCTGGCAGTGTTCGAGTTTGCCAGCTTACTTCATTTTAACAACACCGCATTGGTGTTACCCCAGTTTACAGAGGTGAAACCGGAGCGTCACTGCCCGTCCCTTGGTGTTCACGGGGGCCTCTGAACTGATGCCCATGCAGGCCAACCTTCTCCTGACCAGCCACTGGAATGTGACTGAGCAGGCAGTTTCCATTCCCGAAAAGGGCTCAAGAGCAAGTATATGGATCCACAGCTGCCTGCCAGTAACTTGGCTGGTAGAGGAGGAAGCTGGAAGCTGGAAGTGATAGTATAGTTAGAGGCATGTTTGTGTTTTAAAACTAACATGACTTACAAATATACAGACCCGTAACCCAGCAATGCCACTCCTTGGAGTTGCCCTTGCAGTGTATTCATTCATATGAACTAGAGGCCTAGTGCACGAAATTTGTGCACAGGTGCGGTCCCGAGGCCTGGCCTGCGATCAAAGTGCAAGTGTCTGGTGTGGAAGGGCAGCTCCTAGCTGACCTGTGGGCCCCCAGGTCCCTATGCAACCCCCTCCACCTGAGTCACAAAGTATGAGTCCTCATGAGGAGATGCAGTGAGCTCGGCCAGACGCCGCGGGCCAGGGTGCAGTGTGGGCCTCTGGGCTGCCCAGTGGCACCACATGGAAGCCGGTGGGCAGCGCACTCTCTCCCGGCCGGCCTTCCACACTGGCTCCTGTGTGAACCCACTGGGAACCCAACTGGCCCCTGCAGCCTGGCTCACCCGGAAGAGGCCATGCATGCCTGAGTGCAGGGGGGCCTTCATAGTGCACGAGCCTGCATGCTGGGGGAGGGCAGCAGGGGGAGTGAGAGTGAGCTCAGTGGACACCCTGCATTCTCACCTCACCTCGGTCCCCATCACCCCTGCTCCCAGGTAGCTGAGCAAGAGGTCGCCGACGCCCACCATGTTCCGCACCACCCCCTGGTGGTCAGCGCATATTATAGCGAGCAGTTGAACTCCTGCTCTCCCAGTCAAACCACCACCCGAAGGGACAATTTGCATATTAGGCTTTTATTATATAGGATGGCAAATGTGTCAGGGTGTCCCCACAACACTGTCACAAAAAGACTGAGCAGTGTCCCCCAGACCTATGGTCAGGGGAGCAGCCACACTCACCTTTGCAGAACAAGAGTGACGAAACGAGAGCAAGGCATTTACCGGGCACTTTCTATGTGAGTCCTGTGCTAAGCACTTTTATTTGGCCACTGGGCAAGTCACAGGTGGTGTACATAGTGGAATATCTTACAGCTATCAAAATAACAATTATGAGAATTGTAGCAACATGTAAAACCAGATACCATGGTGATATTTAGGTTGTTTCCTCTTGTGGGTAATTAACATGATAATGAGCATTTATCTGAATATTGTGAGTTTTCCTTTCTGTTCCATTATTGCCTTAGGTTAGATTCCTAGCTGGGCTCTTACTGGTCACAGTTTCATGGTGCTGAGTTGCCCTTGTGCCTTTATTACACCACAGCTTTTTAGACCTGGCAGAAGGCATAAAGAGTTCCTCAGCTCTTCTCTGGACTCTTTGGAGTTCAAGGCAGGACCTGTGTTGTCTACTAGCTTCAGGGAAACAGGCAGAGAGCTAGACTCTAACAATAATAACAGCAACATTTTTATTTATTTATTTTTAATATATTTTAACCAATCTACAAAATAGAGGAGAATAGGTTCTAAATGGCTCATGGGATGAAATGGAAACTAGAAAACAGTTTAGAACTGAATGATAATTTAAATATTACTGCATCTTAGAATTGATGGGATACAGCAAAGCAGTACAGAGTAGAGAATGCAAAATCTGAAACCTCACATTATAAAAGAACAAAGGGCAGAAATTAATGAGCCATGCGTCCAATTCAGTGAGAATTCCAGAGAAACCAGGAGATTAGAAAGAAGAAAACAACAAAGGGCAGAAGTTAATTCCGTAGAGAACAAAGGAACTATTGGAAGAGCAGCAGACCCCAAGGAACCCACAAGCCCATGGTGGAGGGATCCTGGGCAGCAGGAGCCTCCTCTAAGCAAGCAGCCATGAATGTCTGTGAGCAGCTCCTGAGGGGGACCGTGAGCAGCTCCTGAGAGGAACCGTGAGCAGATCCTGAGAGGGACTGTGACAAGCACCTACATAGAAGCAGAACTTAAAGAAAAAGAGATAATGCTATAAATAGCTTTAAGCCAGTAAATTTAAGAATGTAGACAAGCCCTGCCTGGGTTTGCTCAGTGGATAGAGCGTCGGCCTGCAAACTGAAGGGCCCCGGGTTTGATTCCGGTCAAGGGCACATGCCTGGATTGTAGGCTCAATCCCCATTAGTAGGCATGCAAAAGGCAGCCCATCAGTGATTCTCTCATTTGTTGATGTTTCTATCTCTCCCTCTCCCCTCCTCTCTGAAATCAATAAAAATATTTTTTAAAAGAATGTAGACAAGATGGACACTTTATTAGGCATCTGTTTCCAATTGCTACCTCAGCGATTTACCACAAGCTTAGTACACAGAATAACACAACTCAGAAATGGGTCTCGCTCTAGCTGGTGTGGCTCAGTGTATAGAGCATCAGCCTGTGGACTGAAGGGTCCTGGGTTTGATTCTGGTCAAGGACACATGACCAGATTGTGGGCTCAATCCCCAGTAGGAGTCCTGTAGGAGGCAGCTGATCAATGATTCTCATCATTAATGTTTCTAACTCCTGCCCTCTCCCTTCCTCTCTGAAATCAATAAAGATGTTTTTTTAAAGAAAAGATATGGGTCTTATGAGCTAAAATCAAGGTGTCAGCAAGGCTCCCTTGTTTCTGGAGGCTCAGGGAAGAATCCATCCATTTTCCAGCTTTTAGGATTCACTTGTGTTTCTTGTTCTTGACCCCTTCCTCCATCTTTAGTACCAGCAGGGTGGCATCTTCAAATCAATCAGCCACCCCCCCCCCCCATCTTATGCCCTCTGTGACCCTTGATTATAATGGGGTCATCCAAATAATCCGGGATAATCTCCCCATTTCAGAATCCTTATTTAATCACATCTACAGAGTCCCCTTTGCTCTATAAGGTCACATTTTCCCAGGTTCTGGGGTTGGAGTGTGGACATCTTTGGGGCCATTATTTGACCTACTATCTATACTAATAAAAGGGTAATATGCTAATTAGACCGGGTCAACCGGCCATCTTCCGGACGTCTGTCTTCCTCTGGACAAAGCCATGGTGGTGGGGGCCGAAGCAGAGGCAGTTAGGGGCGAGATCAGGCTGGCAGGGGAGGGCCTTTGGGGGCGACCAGGCCAGCAGGGGAGGGCAGTAGAGAGTGAGATCAGGCCGGCTGTGGAGGGCAGTTGGGAAAGATCAGGCTGGCAGGGGAGGGCATTTGGAGGCAACCAGACAGGTAGGTGAGGGCCGTTGGGGGTGACCAGTCCAGTAGGGGAGGGCAGTTGGGGGCATTAGGCAGCAGGCAGGTGAGTGGTTAGGAGCCAGTCAGTGGTCCTGGATTGTGAGAGGGATGTCTGACTGCCGGTGGGATCAGTCCTAAACCAGCAGTTGGACAACCCCCGAGGGTTCCCAAATTGGAGAGGATGCAGGCTGGGATGAGGAACACCAACCCCCACCCCTGTGCACGTATGTCATGCACTGGGCCTCTAGTCCTATATAATAAAAGCTTAGTATGCTAAGTGTCCAGTCGTCCGGTCATCCATTCAACCAATCAAAGCATAATATACTAATGATATGCTAAGGCTGCTTAACTGCTCGCTATGATGTGCACTGATCACCAGGGGCAGACGCTCCAACAGGTAGGTTAGCTGCTGCTGGGGTCCAGCCGATTCATACAAGACAGGCTGGACATGCCCTGAAGCCCTCCCACGGCTCCTCCCTGGCTTGCCAACCTCCCACATCCCTTCCCAGCCCCGATCGTGCACCAGCGGGATCCCTTAGCCTGGCCTGCACCCTCTCACAATCCAGGACACCTCAGGAATGTCAGTCAGTTTCAGCCCCGTCTGCAGGCCAGGCCAAGGGCCCCCCTAGTGTACAAATTTGTGCATTGGGCCTCTAATATAATACAACTTAAACCAAGACTAAGGAAGAAAGATGCCTAAAACTATGAAAGACAGGGAATCAAATATTTAAAGTTTACTCGTTGATTTTTACAGCCCAGCAGTATCAGCCAATAAATATAAAGCCCCATCCCTGAGCCACCTGGCTCGTTCCGTTGGTGGGAGGGTTACTCGGGAGTAGGGGCCAATGGAGAATAGAGTATTCAGGGTCTCCCGGTGCAGCTGGAGGGAGCGGGGCAGCAGCTGCTGGTCGAGACCCAGAAAGTGGCCTCAAGGGCAGGACAGCCAGTGGTGGCTCACAGGTTACCCAGAGTCCACCTTGCACTTCCAGTAGGTAGAATCCAGGGCAGCAGAGACAAAAGCAGGACCTTAATAATGAGAAGAGAGCTTTGCCAGACCCATTTCCCAGACCAGTTTCTATAAGAACGGTTCAGGGCAACACCACAGGCAGCTTGAGAGAAAGGTGTGGAAATCATGGCAATTGCAGTGCCGGCTGTAGTGAGAGGGCATCGGAGCATATCTCACCGGTGGGGCCAAAGCACTGGTCCTGTGGCCCAGAGTGATGTCTCCGGCACTCTGAGCCCAGTAAAGACTCAGGCAGGGTGCAGTTGGCATAGATGTGCCCTGAGCCATGTGAGCCCTGTGGCTGGTCTGTAGGCATGGGCAAGAGCAGGAAATCCCTGGTACAGGGAGTGGGAAGGGGGATCAAATACAGGACTCCCCCAACACATCATCCTGAGAAAAGCACTTCACAGAACAGTGTCTCAGCACAATGCCATTCAGGTAAAGAAAGAGGGAAAGAGAAAATCGCACGCATGTGCTTAACGGGAGACCACCGATGCCTGCATGTCTGGAAGGAAACGAGGAGAGGGGCTGTGGCGTAAGGGACAGAGTCCCTTTTCACTAAATATGCTCTCCTATGTGTGTTTTTCACCGATACATTTTTAGGGATTTTACATAAAAGTAAGTGTTTCTATAAAAAGTCACGGCTCTGTGCCATGGCAGTTCGGGGAGTGAAGGGAACATGCCAGCCACATGGGCAGCGTCGTTCTGACCACGCGCTGCCGGAGCAGCTGACGGGGCCTAGCCCAGCCTGTGGCCTGTAGGCCAGCATCCTGGGTGCCACCACCTGAACCCTCGGGCCTCCCTGTGCCAGCCTTTGCCTGTCTTGGCCGTGGGAACCCTGGGCCTTCCAGGCACCAGTCCCTTGTTCTCTTCCAGGGCATCATAGCTGAAGAGAACAAGAACCTGCAGCCCCAGGGAGATGAGGACCCCGGGAAGTTCAAGGAAGCTGAGCTGAAGATGCGGAAGCAGTTCGGGATGCCCGAGGGGGAGAAGCTGGTCAACTACTACTCCTGCAGCTACTGGAAGGGCCGTGTGCCCAGGCAGGGCTGGCTCTACCTGACTGTCAATCACCTGTGCTTCTACTCCTTCCTGCTGGGCAAGGAAGGTGAGCGTGGGCGCCCTGGCATCCCCCCACCTGCCCAGCCAGCCCTCACCCCCTGACCTCACCTCTAGAAAGTTCACCTTCCCAGACAAAGTCCATGAGGGATCTCCTTCCTCTCGGCCCCCGGATATTCTGTTCCAGCACATCCAACAGAAGGTCTCCCCCACAACAAGTGCCACCTCAGCACCTGGGACAGGAACACCCAAACTTGAGCCAGGCACACACATGGCTCTCGGCGACTCCTATCCTGCCTGTGTCCACTGACAGGGTTTTTCACATAGTGACTTTCAGCATGGGGCCTTTTTTAGGGCAAGAGTTCAAGGGCACGTGTCTGTGAGCGGCTCTAGGTGACTCTGCCTTGGGAAAGCCCTGGCCTCAGGACACAAGGCAACTCCCAGAGCTAGCCATGCCCTCCACTGCACCTCACCCCAGAAAGAGCCCCCAGGGCTTCACTGTCCCAGTGGCCCTGCCTTTCCAAGTGGCGTGCATCCCAGCACAGCTAGGCTCAGGCCCAGGGGAGGGGGAGGGGAGCCAGGGGGATGCTCAGTACTGTTTCCCCAGTGGGTTCCCAGTGTGGGCGGGAAGCAGGGCCCCCCCCTGCCTAACCCTCCAGCCCATTTGACCCAGTGGTGCGTGTCTGTCCCCACCGGCATCCAGTGAGCCTCGTGGTGCAGTGGGTGGATGTCACCAGACTCGAGAAGAATGCCACCCTGCTCTTCCCCGAGAGCATTCGTGTGGACACCCGAGACCAGGAGCTCTTCTTCTCCATGTTCCTCAACATTGGCGAGACCTTCAAGCTCATGGAGCAGCTGGCCAACCTGGCCATGAGGCAGCTGCTGGACAACGAGGGCTTCCTGGAGGACAAGGCGCCGCCCAGGCCTGCCCAGCCGCATAGGAACATCTCCGCTCTGAAGCGGTGGGTGGCCCTGATGGGGGCACTCGGGAAGGGGCAGTAAAAGTGTAGCTGCAGGGAGGGCACCGAGAGATTCAGAGGGGTTTGTCCTAAGGGGCGCATTCCTTCTGGCCTGGGACGGGCGGTCTCACACACTCCGTAGTCTCAGACAGGAAGCTGAGGCTCGGAGTTGAGTAACTTGCCCAGTGCCCCTCAGCAAGTGAGCAGTAAAGCCAGGTGCAGCTGCTGACAGCCTGTCCTCCCTTCCAGCTCAGCCAGGTGCCCGCAGGGGCCGCTCCGGATGGCTTCGGGGATAAGGTCCCAGGGTGCACTGCCTCCACCCCTCCATGATTGACAGCTCTTCTCCACCCCTTGGCCAGTGGCCCCTCATACCTCTGCACTGTTGTAGGTTTGGGGCCCTGGCTGGAGGGTTGAGTCTCTGCCACGCTGTGGGAATTGGTAGACAAAAGGGCAGACACTGGCCAGCCTCTCCGGAGCATTCCTCCATTGTAGCTTCACAGGACACCCGCAAGGCTGCCTGGGAGCCCTGGGTCCCACCGCCAGTTCACACCGTGTGCTCAGATACCATGGCCTAGACCCAGAGTCAGGGGTGTGCCTTCAGGACCAGAAGAGATGTCACTCTCCTGATACAAGTGACAGGGTGTCTTTTGGAACATTCTGGAAAGATTACGAGCAGGGCCAGGACATGACAGTCCCTGGAACTGTCCATCAGGGTGTGATTGCTGGGCCCTGCTCAGGCTGCTGGACTGTCCCCAGGACAAAGCCCCCGCGGGGGGAGGGGGAGGGCAGGATACCAGGCCCCACCCCACACAGCCACAGGCCAGGCGAGTGCATTTTATACCAAGTAACAGCATCGTGCTGTCAGGAGGTTCTGGTCTAGGTTTCTAGATGGTCTGGATCTTTCTAGTAAGAAGCAGCAGGATGGATACGGAACCCTCCTCCCATAGCTGGCAAGTCTCGGGGACGTGTTTCCCGACCACTCTGCTGGTCATACGAATGTCCCACATTTTACTTGGCCACTTGAGGTGCATGTTTCATAGAGCTCTGAGATCCCTGGGCATGATGTATTCACAGGAGGACCCCAAAGAGCCCAAATCCAATTTGAAACCCCAAATTTTGTCCCCTCCCATCCCCGCCATGGTTTCCCCAGAGACCTAGACGCACGAGCCAAGAACGAGTACTACCGGGCCATGTTCCGGCTGCCCAGGGACGAGCGCCTGGACGGCCACACAAGCTGCACCCTGTGGACCCCGTTCAACAAGCTGCACAGCCCCGGCCAGATGTTCATCTCCAGCAACTACATCTGCTTTGCCAGCAAGGAGGAGGACGGCTGCCACCTCATCATACCCCTGCGGGAGGTGAGCACCGCCCACCAGCTCTGCCCGCCTCTCCTGGCTGGCCCCTTGGCATTCAGGGATGGACATAGCGAGTCGGCACCTCCCCGAGCACCTGCCCTGCGCAGGCCTCTTGAGAGTGGTCTTGGGCAGACGGAGTGGGGCTTTGGCCAGGAGAGCTCACTCTAGTACATAGGAAACTTCAGGAAGGGTCCAAGCCTCTCTGCTGGGAATGCCCCTTAGCCCTGCCTTCCCAGACTGCAGTGGGCCTGTGGCAAAGCCCTCTGTGGCTGAGCTTGGAGGACGCTGACCCTGCATTAACCCCGCCATGTCATTCTCAGAGGCCGCCCCACTGTTCCTCTCTGACATTGCTTGGGCTGTGGCTCCGACCCTGGCAGCGTCATTGGAAGTTGGCTCTCACTTGTAAGAGGTAGAGACCTGTTCTCCTTTGACTGCGATGAGGAAAGTGGCCAGTACGGGGGAGGGACCCGCCCAGATGAAGGCACTAAGGCCCTGGCCCCAAGATCAGGCAGGTCTCAAAGCCCTCTTTTCCCCCCAGCAGGGCAAACCGGCTGAAGCAGTGAGGTTTCTCAGTTACAGCCTACGCCACAGTATTCTGATTTAGTTCAAAACCCAGAGCAGTGAGACTTGCTGGCGTTTGTACAAAGCCCTCGGGTTACAGTGTAGCCATGAAAAGGTGTTGGTTAGCCTGCTCAGGCCTGGGTTCCCCAGGAAAGTCAGCCAGAGGGCTAAACAGCCACAGCTCCAGGCTGAGGGGCTCCGGGGTGGCTGTGCTCGTTAGCACCAGGCCCAGGGGTTCACCCTGGTGTTATACTGACATGGCCAAGGCCTGGGGGCTGGCTTAAGGGTTTCTTTGGTCCCAGCTCCACTCCTCCGGGCGTTTCTGAGAGCAGAGTACTGGCTGCCTAGCTGTGTCGGGAGCAGGACTGTCTTTTTTCTTTTTTTTTAGTTAACCCTCACCTGAGGATGTTTTTTCCAATGATTTTTTTTTTTTTTTAAGAGAGAGAATGGAAGGGAGGGGGAAAGACTGAGAGAAACATCGATGTTAGAGAGACATATCAATTGGCTGCCTCCTGCACACACACATACACCTGGCCAGGGACTGAACCTGCATCCGAGGTATGTGCCCTTGACTAGAATCGAACCCTGGACCTTTCAGTCCAGAGGCCAGCTCTCTAACCACTGAGCTCACCAGCCGTAGCTCGCAGGGCCATCTTATTGAACTCTTAGGGTGGGCTCTGCAGCTGGATGGGTGAAGGCCCCGGCCCAGAACTCACCGATCCTCAACGTCCCAGCCAGGGAGGCTTCTCAGGGCTCCTCACTGGCGCCAGCTGCGCTCTTAAACTTGCACAGCCAGACGTGCTCCTCTCATCCCAGCCAGGCTGTGTGCCCCTTCCGTGTGCTCAGGTGAAAAGCAGGAGCCACACTTGATTCTGATCTGGCCTCATCCTGCATCTTGACCATAGCACGTCCCTTCCTCTCCACGGCCACCGCCTAGGACACCAGTATCTGCTTGGACCGCCTCGGGAGTGCCCTACACATAGCTAACACCGTTAGGACCCACCCTCGCACAGCTGCCGATGCGTGTCTGTCAGCATGTGGGCACCCTGTGTGGAATCCTGCCGCATCTTCTGCTGGACCTGTGAGCAGTCTACTCCTTCTCAGATATCAGTTCATGTGCATGCAGGCACACACACATGTACACACATATAAACACTACTCACATGCATATGCACACTTGTGTATACATGCAAACCATGCACATGAGCATTCACACGCATGCCTATGCACATATACCAGGACATGTACACACACAGCAACCCACATCCATATACATGATACACGCATACACACCTCACAGACATGCACACATGTTTATATGTGGTTTTCAGTGACTGCATTCTCCTATTTCCTGTAAGTTGGTGGTTGAGTAGTAAAATCCAGATCAAATTCAGGTTCAATTGTTTGAGTTTGGGGGGCAAGTCTACTCATAGGAATGCACTCACACTCACATACCATGCATATGTGTAGACACCCTTATACATGCATTCACATGTATGCATACACATACCAGCCCTACCCACTCCTGCTTCCCAGCCCCAGCCTCCCGCTTTTCCCTGTCCATCAGTCCAGCCTAGCACCTCCTCAGTGTGGTTACTGGGTCTCTGCCCCAGCTCCTCACCTGGCTGCAGCAGGTATCAGCTTAGCTGCCACCTCCCCAGAAGAGCCTTCAGTGCATAGCAGCCCAGTGGCCTTCCAGCTGGCTCTCACCCCCACATCCCTGCCCTGTTCAGCCATGGTTTGTCCCTGCCCCAGGCTGTGGGCTCTGCAGAGGTGCCCCTGAAAGCCTGTCCTGTGCTCTCCAGCCTGTGCTGCTCTGTCCACACTTCCTCAGCCCGGCCCCGGACGCACCTGTCAGCAGGTATTTTAGCAGTCAATGCTTAGGAGGGCCATGCAGGCAGGCTGCTCCCCAGGCTTCAGAGCAGGGGAAGAATTGGCCACTGGGAAACGAAGAAGGGCCAGTGGTGAGGCCCAACCTCATGACAGACCAGCAGGGCTGTGTGATTGATCGGTGAAAAACGAGATTTAGACATGCATGTAACTCACATCAGCAAGCCACAGAGTCAGAACGGAACATAGTGGGCCCGAGTGCCCCCATCCACGCACCACACCCTTCCTGGAGAGGGCCACCTGAGGCCACGGTCACAGAACCTTCTGTCTTTATATCACAAGACACAAACACCCAGTGTTTTTGCCTCCCCAGGTGACAATTGTCGAAAAAGCCGACAGTTCCAGTGTCCTGCCCAGTCCTTTGTCTATTAGCACCAAGAACAAAATGACCTTCCTGTTTGCCAACCTTAGAGACCGCGATTTCTTGGTTGAGAGGATTGCTGACTTCCTCCTGAAAACATCATCTAAGCAGCCAGGTGACAGCAGCGCAGGAAGGAAAGCCAGTGTCCTGGACCCAACCCCAGAGGTGAGAGGGCGCTGTGGGAGCGGCGGTGGGGGTGGGGAATGGCCGGTGAGCGGGTGGGCGGGGCAAAGAGCCCAGGCAGCACTGTGTGTTTGCCATTGATCTTGGCAGGGAGGATCCCTGCTGGGTGTGGGATGGAGAGCCTGACCCAGCCTCAGTCTCATGCGCTATGGGACGTCACAGGCCTCTGCATCACGTCGAATACACTCCAGTCCTGAGCATTCCCACCGCCCACCTCAAGTCCCACTGCACAGGAGAAGCTTTGAGGGCTGGGCCTGCCTCCCAGTGAGTCTGTGCTGCTCTGAGGGCCACACCGTAGCCCTGATCAGCTCGGAAGCTTCGGTTCATTTACCTGCTGCTTCTCCCGCCAGCCTTTCAGGCTGAGGTTCTTACAGTCTAAGACTCCTTTGTCCAGGCCGGTTTGGTTAGAGTGTCAGTTGGTGGACCGAAGGGTCACAGATTTAATCCACTACTACCTTTTAAATACTTAACTGCAATCTCATTATTATATCAACAATATTCACAAGAATTCCTGAATTTTAAATACTTGTATTCACATTTCTCCAATGCAGATGTATTTTTTACAGTTTAATCATTGGAATTGAAGAACACATAGGTCATATATTATGCTTAGTTAATATGTCTTTTAAACTCCTTTTACCTATAGATCTCTCTCAGTATTTTTTTTTTAGTGGAATTTGGGTCATTTGTGCTGTAGTTTCTCCAAGCGGTTTTCAGTGACTGCATTCTCCTATTTCCTGAGATTGGTGGTTGAGGAGTAAAATCCAGATCAGGTTCAGTTGTTTGTGTTTGGGGGGCAAGTCTACTCATAGGAAGGATGGAGGTGATGGGTACTTTCCACCAAGAGGTATACGACACCTGGCCTTCTTGTCCTGTGCTGTTAGGGTTGCCTAGATCCACTCAGCCTAGGGATTGCAGGATGGCAGCCCTCCAATTCTGTCATCCCTCCGGTTTGTCAGCTGGAATATTGTAAAGAAACTTCGCCTTCTCGATTTTTTAGGGACCCTGAGGCACAGTTTATATACAAAAGGAAAAATAAATCTTTTATTCTTTCCTGTTCTGCACCAGTTACGCTGGAGTTGGGCCCGGCTAGTGTGGTTTAGTGGTTGAGCATCAACCCATGCACCAGGAGGTCACCGGTTCATTTCCTAGTCAGGGCACCTGCCTGGGCTGTGGGCTTGATCCCCAGGAGGGGGTGTGCAGGGGACAGTCAATCGATGTTGGATGTTTTTCTCCCATTGATATTTCTGCCTCTCCCTGGTTCTCTTTTTAGATCAATAAAAATTTATTTTAGCCGAAACCGGTTTGGCTCAGTGGATAGAACTTCGGCCTGCGGACTGAAAGGTCCCGAGTTCAATTCCAGTCAAGGGCATGTACATTGGTTGCGGGCACATCCCCAGTGGGGGGGTGTGCAGGAGGCAGCTGGTCGATGATTCTTGGGGACCAAAGGGTCCAGGGTTCAATTCTGGTCAGGGGCATGTACCTCGGTTGCAGGCTTCTCCTCAGCCCAGGCCCTGGTCAGGGTTCATGCTGCAGGCGACCAATTGATGTGTTTCTCTCACATCAGTGTTTCACTCTCTCTTTCCCTCATTCTTCCATTCTCCCTAAAAATCAATGGGAAAATATCCTTGGGCAAAGATTAACAAAAAAAAATTAAAATAAATAAGAAAGTAAAACTGAATCTCTGTACCCATTTAACACTGACTCCTCATTAGCCCCGACCCTAGCCCCTGGTAACATTATTCTTTCTCCTTGATTATTCTATGAACCTCATATAAGAAAAATCATACGGTATTTATTCTTTTGTGATTGGTTTAGTTCATCTAGCATAACATTCCATTATAATATACATATATATATATATATATATATATATATATATATATGTCATTTTGTTTATCCATTCCTTTTTTTATCCATTCATTTTTTAAAATTAATTTTTATTTTCAATTATATTTTCAATTATATTTCAGTTGACATTCAATATTATTTTATATAGCCGAAACCGGTTTGGCTCAGTGGTAGAGCGTCGGTCTGCGGACTAAAAGGTCCCAGGTTCGATTCCAGTCAGGAGCATGTATGTTGGTTGCAGGCACATCCCCGGTAGGGGGTGTGCAAGAGGCAGCTGATCGATGTTTCTCTCTCATTGACGTTTCTAGCTCTCTATCTCTCTCCCTTCCTCTCTGTAAAAAAATCAATAAAATATATTTTAAATATATATGATATATATGATTTTATATATATATATGATATATATGATTTTATATAGTTTCAAGTATATAGCCTAGTGGTTAGGCATTTATAATATTTACAAAGTGATCCCCCTGATAAGTCTGGTACCCACCTGGCACAATACATAGTTATAATATTATTGACTACATTCTCTATGCTGTACTTTACATCCGCGTGACTCTTTTTGTAAATACCAATTTTTATTTATTTTTTATTTCAGAGAGGAAGGAAGAGGGAGAGAGAGAGAAAGAGAAACATCAGTAATGAGAGAGAATCATTGATCAGTTGCCTCCTGCACACCCCTCATGGGGAGTCCAAGCATGTGCCCTTGACTGAAATTGAACCTGGGACACTTCAGTCCGCAGGTCAATGCTCTATCCACTGAGCCAAACCAGCTAAGGCAATACCAATTCTTTTAAAGCCTTTTTTATTATTATTATTATTGATTTGAGAGAGAGATAGACATTGGTTTATTGTTCCACTTATTCATGCATTCATTGATTCCTATATGTACCCTTATCTGGGCTTGAACCTGCAACCTTAGCATATTGGATGACACTCTAACCAACTGTACTACCTGGCCAGCGCCTGATTTTTTTTTTTCTTTTTTTAAAAATATTTTTTTATTTATTTCAGAGAAGAAGGGAGAAGGAGAGAGAGAAACATCAATGATGAGAGAGAATCATTGATCTGTTGCCTCCTGCATGCCCACTACTGGGGATTGAGCCCACAACCCGAGCATGTGCCCTGACTGGGAATTGAAAAAAGACCTTCTTGTCCACAGGTCAACGCTCAACCACTGAGCCACACCAGCTGGGCCCAATTTTTACTTCTTAATCCCTTCACCATTTTGACCGAGCTCCAATTCCTCTTCCACCTGGCAACCCATCAATTTGCTCTCTCTCTGAGTTTGTTTCTGTTTTGGTTGTTCATTTATTTTGTTTTTTAGATTCCACATATAAATGAAATCTTATGGCGTCACTAGTTATCAGAGAAATGCAAATTAAAACCAAAATGAAATACTACCTCACACCTATCAGAATGGCTATCATCAATAAGTCAGCAAACAATAGAGGGTGGGGATATGGAAAAAGGGGCCCAAACACTGTGACCCAGTGATTGAATGTCTATCCCTGTACCAAGTAACCAGTTTGATTGTGGGCTCAGTCCCCAGTGGGTGGTGTGCAGGAAGCCACCAATGGATGTTGATGTTTCTCTCTCATAGATGTTTCTGTCACTCTCTTCTTCTCCCTTCCTCTCTCTTTAAAATCAATGAAAACATTTTTTTTTTTAAGAAAAAAGGGAACTCTTGTGCACTATTTGTGGGAATGTAGATTGGTGCAGCCACTGTGGATAACTATGGAGGTTCCTCAAAAAAGTAAAAACTACCCTAACCAGTTTGGCTCAGTGAATAGAGCATCGGCCCTTGGACTGAAGGGTCCCAGGTTCGGTCAAGGGCATGTACCTTGGTTGCAGGCACATCCCCAGTGAGGGGTGTGCAGGAGGCAGCTGATTAATGTTTCTAACTCTCTATCCCTCTCCCTTACTCTCTGTAAAAAATCAATAAAATATATATTTTTTTAAAAGTAAAAATAGAACTACCATATGATCCAGCAATTCCACTTCTGGGTATTTATCCAAAGAAACCTAAAACACTAAATTGGAAGAATCTGTGTACCTCTGTGTTCATTGCAGTGTTATTTACAATAACCAAGATTTGGAAGCAACCCAGTGCCCATAAATGAGTAGCTATAAAAAAATAGGAAATCTCACCTTTTGCGACGGCGTGGGTGGCCTGGAGACTATTGTGCTAAATTAAATAAGCCAGGTACCATGTGATTTCACTTCTATGTGGACTCTAATGAACAAAGTAATCAAAGTGGAAATGGACTCATGGATACAGCTCACAGACTGACATCTGCCAGAGGGGGAGGGGTTGGAGCCTGGGTGAAAAGGATGAAGGAATTGAGCAAAGAAAACAAAGGACTCATAAACACAGACCAGGGCATGGTGATTGCCAAAGGGAAGCAGAAAGGATGAAGAGGGAGGTAAATGGCGATGGAAGGAGACTTAACTGGGGTGGTAAACACAATACAGTATACAGATGATGTATTGTGGAGTTGTGTACCTAAAATCTATATAACCAATGTCACCCAGTGATATAATTTTTTTAAGTGTGTTTGGCAGATGGCACTAATGGGGTTTTCGTTATCTGTCTCCCTGAGTAGGGTGATTTAAATTATTTACCCTCTGGTTGGAGAGGAGAAGTGCAAACCATTTACGCTTTTTTTTTTTTTTTAATTAAACCTTTATTGTTGAGATTATTACAGATGTTCTCCTTTTTCCTTTTTTCCACCCACTACCTCCTCAACCCAGTTTCCACTCCACTCCCCGCCTTCACCACCCTACTGTCTGCATCCATAGGTAAGATCTTTGGAAATCCCTTCCCACGCCCTGCCCCCCAACCTCCCTTCCCCTGAGATTCATCAATCTGTTCCATGCTCCCATGACTCTGATTCTATTTTATTCATCAATTTATTTTGTTCAATAGATTTCTTGTTTGTTTATTTTGATTCTTAGATTCAATTTTGATAGATATGTGTTTAGTGCCATTTTATTGTTCATATTTATAATCTCTTCTTCATCATCTTTTTTTCTTCTTCTTCCTCTTCTTAAAGAATACTAGTACCCTTCAACATTTTATGTAGTACTAATTTGGTGGTGATTCATTCCTTTAGCTTTTTCTTATT